CCCACGTTGCATGTAGCAGAATTATCCGATTGCCTCGGTTATCGCTAGAGATGGGCAAAACGGTTCATCTCAGTGAGCGGTTCGGAGTCAGTTCACTCCCTAAAATGAGTCGGTTCTTTCGTACGGTTCATTTTACGGTTCTTTTTTCTTTATAAAAATCTTGGTTTATTTATACATACATCATTTTATTTCGATTTTTTTATACAGGAAAAACAAAAGTAGGTAAGCTAGGCCGGTTCTAACCATGGAGCAATGAGGGGGGGTAAGGGGCGGGGGGGAACCGCGGGCGGGAAGGGGGGAACCGCGGGCGGGGGGGAACCGCGGGGCGGGGGAGGGGGGAACCGCGCGTTTCGGGCGCCGCGGGGAGGGGAAGGGGGGGACCGCGCGTTTCGGCCGCCGCGGGGGAGCGGGAAGAAGGGAACCGCGCGTTTCGGGCGCCGCGGGAAAGGGGAAAGGGGAAACCGCGTTTTTCGGGCGCCGCGGGGAGGGGAAGGGGGAAACCGCGTTTTCCGGCGTTGCGGAGGAGGGGGTCAGCGTTTTCCGGTGTCGCGGGGGAGGAAGGAATCGCGTTTTCCAGCGCCGCGAGGTGGCCGCGTTTTCCGGCGCCGCGGGGCGAGGGAGTCAGCGTTTTCGCCGCGCCGCGGAGCGTTCGCGTTTTCGGGTGCCACGGGGCGAGGGGGTCCGCGATCACGTTTATATTGTAAAAAAATTGCTTACCATCGCTGGATACCATTTCCCGGCTCTCAGTCACCTTCCGCACTGTGTGTCACACAACATTGATTGTCTTTTTATTGTTACATTTATTGTTACACTTATTGTTAGTCTCTTAGCAGTATAGGTCTCTTAATTTTAGATAATAAACACTTAAAATATTTTTAAAAACACTGCAGTCTAAACAGTCGATATTTACACGAAAACACACATAGGACACATATTACATGTTGAAATGAGATACAGTGGCCCCCCACACGATGAACAAAAGAGGCCGTTCATCAGAATATACCGCCTGGTGTCATGTTTACGACAAGCATACAGCATCGAGAATAATCCACCGATTCTCACGATGCATGACGCACAAAACTTTGTCTGTCCTGGAGTAAAGTAAAAATACGTGCAGCACATCCTTGTAAGAGGATTTAACGCATTGACTTCAGCCTGATTCATGACTCTGAATATTTCTTCTGAAAAATCCTCAGACATTTCACTATCATAACATGAATCGTCTGACAATACTGCATCATCATCATCATCAACTTCCATTCCTTCCTCTTCATTTACTTCCATTTCTCCAGGCACTTCCATTTCTTCAGGCACTTCCATTTCTTCCTCGTTTGCTTCAACTTCCATTCTTTCTTCTCCTTCAAAGTGCAATTCTTCGAAATCCATTTTTACTTTAATAATGAAACCGCGGTGTTGCACTAACACGTCTAAATCAATTAGACGTTATATTCTCCACCGTCTTCTCGACCGTCCTCTATTCTTTCCCAATATATTTGGTACTAGAGAAACATCCAGTTTGATTGGCGATTGGCGATTCCGATTTCGCGACGGATGCTTTCCAGGAAAAAATCTACAAACGCATATATGCGGTCTCTCTTTTCGCTTCATACGATGTCTCTTTTAAACATTTTATGATCATCAAAATCCCGCCACATTAGTATTTCACGACATTCATAAAATTCAAGAAACTTCCGATGCGATCGGAGATCGGCGATTCCGATTTTTCGACGGATCAGATATCTCGTTACATCGACGGTCCGCGGATCCCCATTCCTCACGAACGGATCGTTGATTTTCACGATCGGTTTTCCTTCAGGATAGAACACTGGTTTGCAAAGTTCTGCATACTCGCTCATATAACGTTAAATTCGGTGGGCCTTGATATACAGTAGCATTAAGATGGCCAGGACGAACCAATTGTCTGTATAAGCCGCACGATCAAGCACGCCAACCGACTGCTCTTACTTCTAGTCCTCGACTACTGAGCGTACCATCAAATTCATCCTTCTACATCTCACTATTGTCACATCGTTTGTTTATCATATCTAATTTCACCATGATCTCAGCATCCATACAATTGCACCTTCCGAAAAATCTGCGATGTGCAGTTTTGCACGTGTGCAATGAAGTTACCGCGAGACATATTCTCGAAAACGATATCGCACCATTAACTTTCAATGGTTTAATCTGTAATACTGCTATTGAACAGCTATTAAACAGCTAAAAACAGCTAAAAACAGCTAAAAACAGCTATCAAACAGCTATCAAACAGCTATTGAACCGCCATGAAACAGCTAAAAACAGCTAAAAACAGCTTCCAAACAGCTCTTGAACCGCTATGAAACAACTAAAACAACTATCAAACAGCTCTTGAACAGCTATGAAACAGCTAAAAACAGCTAAAAACAGCTATCAAACAGCTAAAAACAGCTAAAAACAGCTATCAAATAGCTATTGAACCGCTATGAAACAGCTAAAAACAGCTATCAAACAGCTCTTGAACAGCTATCAAACAACTAAAACAGCTATCTGTATAACAGCGATCTGTATAACTGCGATCTGTATAACTGCTATTGAACCGCTATCAAACTTCTTTTAAACAACTAAAAACAGCTTTTAAACAGCTATCAAACAACTAAAACAGTTATCTGTATAACAGCGATCTGTATAACAGCGATCTGTATAACTGCGATCTGTATAACTGCTATTGAACCGCTATCAAACTTCTTTTAAACAACTAAAAACAGCTTTTAAACAGCTATCAAACAACTAAAACAGTTATCTGTATAACTGCGATCTGTATAACTGCTATTGAACCGCTATCAAACTATTTTTAAACAACTAAAAACAGCTCTTGAACAGCTAAAACATCTATATTATACTACAAAGTATGTAAGAAAAGGAAATAAAACGTTTATATATACATATATAGTTTATTTCAAAAATCATAATTTTTTCTGGTGTCGCGATCACCAGTTAAATATTTTTAATACATTTTGTAATGCGCTGGGTGAGGGACGATCACGTTCGCGTTTTCAGGCGCCGCGCCGCGGAGAGGGGCGACCGCGTTCGCGTTTTCGCCGCGCCGCGGAGTCCGCGTGATGTCATACGCTCCCGCTCGCGTTATCTCTCCTTCGCGCGCGGTCTCTCGCTCCCGGCCCCCTCCGTTCGCGCGCGTCTTCTCGTTCGCGCGGTCTCTCTCCCCCGTTCGCGCATTTTCGCTCACGATCGCGTATCTTTTCTTCGCCAACGATATTTAATCGTTTAGATTTTCGCGATATTTAATTTTAATATTACATTTAAGTAAACGATAAACGAAGACAGCTTAACGACAAGGAACGGTAAATAAAAAGGAAATTTTTTTAACCATATTATATACTTATTTATTTCTCATGTAGCGCAATATACACAATAGTATCTAAAGCGTAGGCTAATAATTCGCAATCAATAATCAAATTTTTATCATAAACTTCACGCAAGACTTTAACTGCATTACATTTATCGATGATCCAATTTTGGCGTAAAATTGTTACAAACTGTTTGAATTTTTCACTTACGCCATGAATATTTTGACATAGTTGAAAATACACATTTTCAACGCAATGTTCTAGTTCGAACAGGAAGAGTACGGTTGACGGTTTCATGTACAAGCTGGTGTCGCACGATGTCAATTTTACAATATCTGCGTCGCGTATTTTAACGAGTTCCAAATCTCGAAACGCTAGCGATGATGGTGCCGGCAACTGCACGAGTCGCTGAATACCTGCACGTTTTTCGATGAATGTCACCCACGTTGCATGAGGCAGAATTATCCGATTGCCTCGGTTATCACCAATAAGTATATCCACAGAGGACATAGGTCCAGCGTTGATTCCAACATCCAAAAATTTATATGCGGTTGATGTCAAGGCAAATCTCTTTCCCAAAATACGAGGTGTGTAGCGGGGTTTATCAAAACTGAAAAAAATACAATTATGTTTATAAAAGTTTTTTTTTGCCCAAGTATATACGAAAATTAGCGGTACTTACTCATTGTGCTGTTTCTCACACGTTTCGTCCTGAATCGGAACGTAGTAGTTCGCACCGTGAGTGTTCATCGTATCTGGAGGCTGTTTATTGCAACGTACTCGAACCGTATCGAACTCTCGACTGCGCGCTAATATTCGCCCAAGGTAGCGATTTGGTTGGATCCTTCCACCAGGTCGCGTTCCGTTTCATTGAGATGTTCCATGTTTTTTATACTGTCTTTTTTCACACACTATTTTTAAATCACGCCACAATCTTCGAAGGAGCACTTGCATGTGACTCGGTCACACGCTGAACAATATCATGTGCAATGTTGAACGTGATTGTGCATGCATGTATATACCCGATATCAAGTATTTGTATAATGCTGTATGAAACCATTGAATATAGTTGAGTATGTTGTTAAATATGGATTTGGAATTGGAATCTTCGATCTTAACGGACAAATAATCCATTTTACAAATGTTATTGTACACCCGAGACACCCTTGCACGGAGCATCTTTTTTATCACGTTTGATATTACGTTTGTAACGTGGGTTGTATTTTCTATATTGACATTTCTTTTCAAAGTCAAATACATAAAGCATGCCACAGATCAAAAGTTCGCATTGCGCGTCACCTAGTTTGTAAATAGTCTCCAGATCATTGCTTGTCCTCGGATCATATTTCCACCAACCATTTCGACCTTTGTAAAACCATTGATACTCTTCCTCAGGATGTTCCGATTCCTTCTGAGGCTCCTCCACTTCCACCAGCTGAGGTCTCTCGAGAAAATCCGGTGGGATCTCTTGACGACACATCGGACACCGCTTGCTCTGATCAGCGACACCCTTTACGCACAGATAGCAGTATATATGGCTGCAGGGTAATCGTGCTGAATGGATACATGGCTGCAGGCATACTGCGCATTCTGGCACAACAGTGGGACCTTCCTTTTCCTCGGAATCCTTATCCTTCTCTTTAATGCCGCCGCCAGATTTCTCCGACACGTCGAGCTTCGCTTGCGCCATGGCAGGACGAGTCGCGCGACCGCCGACAGGGTCAGAGTCTCATCCGACGAAGCCCGATACAGCTCTTATGCATGAACGACATAGTGCAAGTGCACCATCTGTTGAATAATAAAAAAATAGTACGCACTTTTTTGTATGTAAATTTAGTGCAACGATTTCCTCACGCGACACTATTCTTTCAATGACTTCCTTACGACCATCTTCTTCATCGCTGAAATAATCACTGTCATCCGTTAACGCGCGATTCTCGTATACATCTATATCGAAATTATTGTCATCTTTTTTATCGTGAAAAGTATTCCTCTGTATTGAATACTCGGTACAAAAAAAATGTAAAATAACCGCTATACTATTTTCCAATCGATGTACCGACGCGTAGACTATCAAATCACAGACTGTGATTTTGACTCGCTTCATTCTTTCTTATATACTTTTTCTATTGCCTTTTTTCTCTCGTTCCAACTAGAGCATCGCGTATCGTTTCTTTTGTTTTAGTGCATGGTATGCATACACTGCAAATTTTGTTTTGCAAATTCGCATAAGTCAATGGAGCGATATTGTTTTTTTTTTTTTTTTTTTTTTTTTTTTTTTTTTTTTTTTTTTTTTTAAGAACCTAACCTTGCGACCGCGCGCTTCGGAGGCGAGTTCGGAAACGATCCGACGAGCACCCTCAATGGAAAAGATACCGACTGAGGGGACGAAGGCGAGGATCGATAACGTGAGACGCCCAAACCGTAGTGACCGGCAGAGGCAATGGACCAGAGGACCATCCCGCATACCTGGCGCACGAATGTGCGACGCCAGATTTACCGACGAAGCAAGGTTCCCGAACTGGATACCGGCTTCGGGTACAAGGACGCCCGACGGCTTTACCAGGACCTGGGACATCCTCCCAGGGGGTCGGCGCCATTGTCCGACAAAATCCGGGCGAAACACACTTTCGCCAGGAACTGATTGATCCGACGGCCTTACCAGGACCTGGGACACCTTCCCAGGAGGTCGGCGCCATTGTCCGATAAAGTCCGGGCGAAACGCACTTTCGCCAGGAACTTACCTATCCGACGGCCGTACCAGGACCTGGGACACCTTCCCAGAAGGTCGGCGCCGTTGTCCGGCCGAATCCGGGCGAAACGCACTTTCGCCAGGAACTTGGCTATCCGACGGTCTTACCAGGACCTGGGACACCCTCCTAGGGGGTCGACGTCGAGCTCCGACAAAGATCCCCAGGATACGCATCATCTCCGGGAACAGTGGCCCGGAACAGCGATACCAGCACCTGGGAAACCCAGCCAGAGGGTCGGCGTCAACGGCCGACGACACCGACGTCACCCGGACGTCGTCTACAGGGAGAACGTCTAAATTCACCTTCAGGGGCATCTCCGAGGAGGTGCGCATAGGTCGACGTCGTCCGCGTCGAACATTTTCCGTGAGTGAAAACCTGGTGCAGCGGTACCGAGGAAGGAAGGTTCTCGCACTGCGTTGCGCGTGGAAATTTCCACGGGAACTTTCTAGAACGGGCGATGCGCAAAAGGGCACGCGAGAGGGTAGTGAAAATCATCGTGTTTTCGCATGATCGCGCCAGATGTGCCGGCCGCGAACAATAGACGATCGTGAAAGTTCCGAGGAGTGGGAACGATCCAGCATAAGTGGGGAGCCCAAGCGAGAGCGACCGCTCGTGGCAGTCTCTCGGGTATAGCCGTGGCGAATACACGTATCACACTCTGTACGATCGGCATACGCGTTATACTTTACAACCGAGAACTCCCGCGTACTATCGCGTAAAATTACTCGTCTTAACCAACAGCGAGGGGCAATTAATTGCCAAATACAATCGAGTGTTAGCAACAATACGCGAGTTGAAATTCGGATACATTGTTAATTAGTGAAAGTGCAATTATCGAGTATATAACAACCACGGGCATTGGGTCACGCGGATACGGAATATTGTGCGGACATTATTAATCATTGTATTTAACCACCGAATACTCGTTCGTTTCAGCGCACGAACATTGTATGATAGAGTGATGGTCACGGCCGAGTGCGTGATCATAGTTTAACAATCACGAGGTTCAAAGTCCTCCGATCGGAATAATTATCTGGAATAAAAGCATCGTATCGACTAAACGAATAAGCCGAGATACGCAATTTGAATAATTGTGCAACTTTATTAAAATAAAGCGACATTCACACCGAGGCGAGAAACTCGCGTTGTGAGACACCTTTATGATATTGTGAAACGGCCTGTAATGTTGAAATGATGATCTGGAATTAAAGATTAATTAATTCTGAAACAAATTCTCCTGATTAATTATAAAAAATTATCGATACTTACCTTCTACTTACCTTGTCCTTCGGCGATGATCCAACGTTGGTCAGCGGCAATCCGGTATGCGATGTAAAGCGAGGATCCGGGGAAGCAGAGCAGCAACAAAGCAGCGATCCATCCGAGGCGGGAACCTGAAAAAAGAGAAGCGAATTAGTGCGTAATTAAAACATAATTATCGGGAATTATCCTTATCTGGTATGCGAGGTAAAGCGAGGATCCAGAGACGGATAACGGCAACGGCGATCCATTCCGGGCGTCAATCTGC